TCTTCATTAACACTGCATGTGGGTGCTAGAAATAAGACAGTATTTTATTCGAATCAGTGCAAGAATATAAGAGACGCGAGAACGAAGAATTAACTAGACTTATTGCATTTTGGCCGAAATACCTTTACCAGTATTAGTGGTCAAAAGTTTGACACAAGGTTTTCAACATCTCAATATCGGATGTTAGTTTATTGATTTGTCTTTTTAATTCATTATTTTCTATTATTGTGTTTTTAAATTCATTCTGTGTACTCATTAACTCCAACTTTAGTGCTTTCATTTTTTTTTTGAAACTCTTCTGTGTATGTTGTATCGCTGTGTTGCTTTATTGTACGATCTAAACTCTTCGATAATTTTTCAGGAGTGCTCGTTTCACTGTCGAATATTTGTGAATCGAAACTTTGTGCGGAAAGTTCGAACTGGATAATAGCAGGTGTATTGTTATCATCACAGACACTTTTATTAATTATTGGTGCAACTGCAACCTTTTCCGCTACACTATCTGTTACTGAGGATGTTTTGTGATCTCTTTTCCTCGTCGTTACATTAGATTGATCGTTATCTGACAAATTTAAGCTTCCTTTTGGGTGAATACATTGTTTACATTTCGAATTCATTCGTGAATCTTGTCTCATTAGTCTATACAGTTTCTCAGAAAATCCGGCACAGTCAAATTCATACGTATTTTTACACACTGAACATTTGATGGCATCTTTCGAGTTAATAACGGATGACAGCATACATAGTGGTGACGATATATACTTATATAAAAAAAATTACTTCACTTCGATAGCTCGTGGAGGGCTTCTGGGAAGGGTGAGCTAGCAAATATGGGATTGAGGAAAAGGGCTGTACTTGCACAAACTTTAAGATCCAGGACCTGTAGCCTGTGTACTAATTACTAGCTGCCGCAGGATACATCATTACTAGTTTTACGTGGTTCGCGGCTTCCAAGTAACAATTAGTTAAGGCCAGGCGGGGGCGCGAATAGTTTAGATACCGAAAAATACGAAAAAGCGAACAAAATTTCAATTCGAATGTAATGCCATTGTTTATGAGCGCCGTTATGTGTGATGCAGTTTTAGTTAGCACGAACTGGGCTTTAGGAAAGTTCAGGAAAATGTAATGATGAATACAAAACATGCATCGATAACTTTAATCGTCTCAAAAAGTGTTCGCAGGAGCATAAAGTTACGAATCTGCTTTGAGCCAACTCAATGAACTATGTAGATTTTAAGACTTTCGTGGTTATTCACTAAATGATAATCACTAATATTAGGTTTCTTACCACGGTATGACTTTTTTTTTATTTTTGCGATATTTCGGAACGGTTGCACGCTCCATGGTCATGGGTTGACTGGACGGCGGCAGATGACAGCTTTAAGAGCTGACATATCTGTCTACCTTCTTGCGCTGTCGACAACTACCTTCATCGCGATTTGTTGTGGCGTTACCATTGTCACTCACTTTTTTCACACAAACTACACTCACTGTATCCACACGCGAAACTGAACTCGAGGAGTTTTATGTTTTTATTACTGCACGCACTAAGGACCGGATTCCATGCACTGGACAGTTTAAAACCATCATCACAGTTAAATGTTTTGTACTTCGTGATCTCGATGACTTCTCGTACCAACCGTGGTATGTAGTGACGTTCTGTCGAGAGTACCTGGGGGCTCTGCAACTCGATCCAGTGGTTAGTGTCAGTCTGTGTGAGATGTTGTGCTATAGGCGACTTCTGTGCATCATTGTTTTTTACTGCTCGGATGTGTTCCTTCATACGATCGACAATTGTTCGTTTAGTCTGACCGATATACGAGCTCCCACAACTGCAGTTCACTTTATAGGCACCCGGTGTTTGTAAAGAAAGGTGGTCTTTTGGTGAACATAACATTTTTCCTATTTTGGTTAAGGGGGTGAAAACAGTTTTTCTGGAAAACTTCCTTAGCAACCTGGCTATTTTATCGTCACCTGTCACCCCTTGTACATAGGGCAGAAAAACTAGTCATTCTGTGTACAGAAAACCAACTCACACGGACAAATATTTACATGCCACTTTACATCATCACCCAAAACACCTACATTCGGTCGTCAGGTTATTAACCAATAGAGCTTATGATCCTTGTGATGCACACCACGATACACAGGAACAGGAGCACGTTAAGACGGTTTTGCGACAGAATGGATACAAAATAAAAACATTTAAACCAATATACAAAAGGAAGTAGCAAATTGACGTACAGAGACTACCAGTTTTTCTGCCCTATGTACAATGGATGACAGATAAAATAGCCAGGTTGCTAAGGAAGTTTTCCATAAAAACTGTTTTCACCCCTTCACCAAAATAGGAAAAATGTTACGTTCACCAAAAGACAAAAAACACCGGGTGTCTATAAAGTGAACTGCAGTTGTAGGAGCTCGTATATCGGTCAGACTAAACGAACAATTGTCGATCGTATGAAGGAGCACATCCGAGCAGTAAAAAACAATGATGCACAGAAGTCGCCTATAGCACAACATCTCACACAGATTGACACTAACCACTGGATCGAGTTGCTTAGCCCTCAGGTACTCTCGACAGAATGTCACTACATACCACGGTTGGTACGAGAAGTCATCGAGATCATGAAGTACAAAACATTTAACCGTGATGATGGTTTTAAACTGTCCAGTGCATGGAATCCGATCCTTAGTGCGTGCAGTACACTGCCTCCGTGGCCGAACGGTTACCATACCGGACTGCCACGCAGAGGTCCCCGGGTTCGATTCCCGGGCCGGGAGAAATATTTGTATGGCCTATATTTATTTCTCTCGTGAGTTTGGGTGTAATTTGTGGTTGTCTATGTGTGTGTCCATGGCACCCGCGACACAGGGTTTCCCTAGTGCGGGGCTATGTTGAGTGTGTGCGTTATTATTATTATTATTATTATTATTATTTAGTAATAAAAACAAAAACACCTCGAGTTCAGTTTCGCGTGTGGATACAGTGAGTGTGGTTTGTGTGAAAAAAGTGAGTGACAATGGTAACGCCACAACAAATCGCGATGAAGGTAGTCGTCGACAGCGCAAGAGGATAGACAGATATGTCTGCTCTTAAATCTGTCATCTGCCGCCGTCCAGTCAACCCGTGACCATGGAGCGTGCAACCGTTCCGAAATATCGGGAAAATAAAAAAAAGTCATACCGTGGTAAGAAACCTGATATTAGTGATAATCATTCAATGAACTATGGCCGAAAACTCCGTCTCCAGAGATAACTCGCACTAAGCAAGGATATATTTGATGGTGAACCTTGAATGGTTTAGATTTTTTCTTGGTTTGAGCATAAAATCTACTGTGTGACGTTACTGACCACATTCCTTTTCTGGTACACAAACACTATCTTTATTCTTTTTTTTCGTTTCTGAGATAACCATCTTTACATGAACAAGATGGTTTGACATGAACAAGATGGTTTGAATTCAGGACAACCCGGCTTTGGGTTCGATATAAGACAAATGTTAGATTGATTTTCTTTGAAAATTTCGAGGTAACTTTGTGTTTTTTTTTCTATCATGAAAGTTTTTCGGAATCGTGTTTTCACACTATACTTTAATCACTGTAAATCCCAAATTGTATTATACATTTTTTCCAAAGTGATTTATTCAACTACTTCACTGTTATGCGAAATCAACCAAAGCCATTTGAGGTTGTATCAATTCTTAAGTAGCTACCAGCTTGCTAGACACTGGAGGCTTCAACAAGGCGGAGGGAAATATTGTTATCGAGGAGTCTCGCCTGTAGCCTCGGAAATTGAAGTATTCCACATCGAAAGGCACAAAGCTATTGCCGTGGCTGGGGTATTTAAACCAGTCAAGACACGTTTGTGACTTGATGCAATTTAATTATAAAAAAATATGGAATTTTTCTCAACCTAGAAAAATAGAAAACGTCTGTATAAAATTACTCACGGCAGTCTTTCTCAAGGATACAAACACCCTTGCTGTTCCTATAATAACCTTTATTACAGCGACAAGCTGGTATGCACACTTGTGCGCATATGACATTCTTGCCAATTTCGTTGCAGTATACCGGATCACATGAAGAAGCGCAAGAGTTGAAATATTCATTCGGTCCTGTACATTTATCCTTTGGTTCTATAAAATAAAAAATTGTACTATGAAGTCAAAATCAGTAGTTACTTAATAATTGTAATAATTTTGTTAAATCTAACTCTGTAGCTGTTACTTTGGCCTTAATTTCGTAACTATTTTTTTAACATGGAGATAATGTGCGTATTGCTGTGTATTTTTTTCTTATTTATTTAGTTTTTTATAGTGCGCACTGACTAATCCTAAGAGTTATTAACTTTACACAGAACGGAACCGTTTATTCCCACTAGTTCTGTTGTACAATTCTGTTGAGAGCACTACCGGTACTGTTTCCCCATTCGTTCTGTTAATAAATAGATAGTTTTCTTCACAGAACTACTGAGGAACTTGAACATTAATAACTTTCCCATTAATTTGTTATTTAGTTGTTCGACAATACACAGTTACTATGTTCTTACTAAACGTTCCATGAGGTTTGTGTGATAGCCTTGTAACTACAAATGGTTATAAAACAGCTGAACTGGCAATCTAGTGCTGAGAATATATGGTAAACTATATAGTTTTCTTACCGCAGTACTCGGTGCTATATTACTGCTAAGCTGTATTTGTGCATACCATATCTATGTGACTAAAATTGAAGTAACATATTCCTTGTTAAATTAAATAACTTTCCAAAATGGCTCAAGGGTGTTGTATCGAGTAATACATTAGATAATTTTCTCGTGGTTGATGATTTTAACAAGAAACTATTTTATGGTTACCATTAAAATATCAAAGGTCTCTTGCTTGTAAACCTTACTATCTCCTTACAAAGAACTTATATGCAAAAATGTTATTGCCTCCTTAGCAATACTAAACTCAAATGTTCAGTAAGGAATTTCAGTGAGCAGAATTTCTTTCTTGTTTCGTACATTCACATTAATTTTATTTTTAATTTTTCACTAAGATCATTAACATTGTTTACTGAATTCAACGACAAGAGTGGCATTGATCTTTTATATACAAGTGTTAGAAATATAAAAACTATTATGATCAATAATCAAGTCAATGGATCGAACGATTAATAAGACGATTTTCATGTTTTCGTATCTGCAATAGTGGTTGTATTTTTATGATCATAACGAGGAAGCTTTGTACAGACGTCTAATTGTATACTTAGAATTAAATTCAGTACAAAATGCTGTAACCAGTGTAGTAAGTTATGAACGACAAGTAACAAGTAACAGGGCATATTCCTTCCATACGCAGTTCACACAAAATATAGCTGTACTGAAAACGTGTGTTTTCGGCCAGGTTTGGTAGTTAACTTACCTTTACTAGGGCATTCATCGGTTGGTATGCAAACTCCGGTTTCATCGTTTCTCAAAAATTTATCTTTACATAGGCATCCACCTTTGCATTCAACGGGGTCAACGCAAACGACAGGGTTTCCAATCTGTGAGCAGTTTCGAGCGCTATAGCAACCACCGTTTGCGCAAGTATTCCATTCCTCATTATCAGGGCAAACTTTAGCTGTAAAAAATATATCTTTTAGTTTTAATGACTTATTTTCTAAATGTTGAAGTCACTTACAACTTACATTTTTCACATTACAAATTTCTATAAATAGTTATTGTATATTGTGTTCTTTCAATTGTTTCGCTAACGTGACTACGTTCCTCGACCTCCTACCTTCCCTACGAACCTCTGAAGAGGTTCATTTATTTGAAAATATTAGTTTGGTTATATTGTTTATGATTTAATTATATTTTGAAACATACATATAACTGTATAAACATTGAGTTTAGTAGTTAACTAGCCAACTATTAAATCCATTATTTGGCTTAAGCGGCTACTAGCTTGCTAGACATTGGAGGCTTCAACAAAGCGAAAGGAAAGCTCTTAGCGAGGAATTTTGCTTGTAGTCCTCGGGTACCCACGATGTCCACTCAAAAGGCACAAAACATGTAGCACTTGTAACATGTAGCGATGTAGGAAAATAAAAATGATGGTATTTTTATTCAACCTAGAGTAATAGAGAACTTCTATATAAAATTACTCACGGCAGTCTTTCTCAAGGACACACGTGTCCTGGCTGTTCCTATAGTAACCTTTATCACAGCGACAAGCGGGTACACATGCAGCTGTGCAGGTAATGTTCTTGCCAATATCGTCGCAGGTTGCAGGAGTACATGGTGAGCATTTGGTGTAATGTTCATTGGGTCCATCACATTTATCCTCAGGTTCTATGCAAATAAATAATTGTAATATGAAGACAAGGTCAGTGGATAATTACTAATAATGTCGTGGGTCGTGTTTGTTGAAAAGGAAAGTATTGGTATATCAATTAACTTTTGTATTTTAATAATCAATATTTCATGTGTTTTATACCGAATTTACTTTTTTATTCACTGATCAAGAAAGTTAATAACGAAAGTTCTTTAGTTGATATGCCCGTTAGTCTGGATATCATAAATGTATTCGCTTGTAGACTATTTAATTTCGATGTACAAGGTTCACTGTCATATTGATTTGCAATTGTAATTTTCATATTTCATTGATCTTGAATTGTTAGTTTAAAATTAGGCTACGTTAGTTAAAAAAAGATTCTAGCTAAACCCGAGAAACAGGAAAGATATTTTTGCGCGCATGGCTATAGTAGAGCCATCATACTCGGAGGTATTTTAAAAAGGTTGAGGTTCGGCCAAACAAGTGACAAAAATAAATAATTGTACGCATAGATATGATGACGAGTAAAATGTAAAATTAACGAGTAATAAATGCTGAAACAATTAGAACGTGGACATTTAAATTGAACAAAGAATTTGGTTTTTATATTTTATGATATAATAATTAATATTTTTAAATATAACAATATATTAACTTTTGTGGTCAACAAGCCAACCATCAAAATTTATTGCTGGAAATTGGAAATTTCTGAGCGAGGAATTTTCCTAGTGGTCCTTCCTGGTGAACTTGATAGTATTTATATTTTATAGTCAATATAATTGTCAATATAATTGGGCGTTAACTAATGCCATCTACAAATTCCATGTAAAATTTATAAGTATGGCCACCAGGTTTCTCGTAAAAAAAATATAGATGCCTCTGTAAGTCCCTTATTTTAAACGAAACTTGTGAAATAAGGTTACTTTCCTAAAATACATAATATTAAGTCATTTTAATGGTTTCATAATTCTCGTTTGAATTAATAATGACTATCTGAAATACATCACAATTTATCTGTTATAGTTTCACCATTGCATTTTGAAAGGTTGCCCTTTTGATCAACTTCCATTTTGGACTGTTATATTATGATTTGTAAAATTAATGATAATTTGTGAATTAAGATAATAGTTATCTTAATTCACAAAATATATTAATCCAAATTTTAAATAAATATTAATCTAAATAATATTTATCCACGTCGTAGTCGACATGGATAAATAGTGGCTACACTCATTAAAATATTCTTGAAGTTTTTACTTTACATCTTAGTACTGTATAAAATTTATTAAATGTTCAACCACGTGTACTGAACAATGCTGCTCTGTGATTGGACGATATTATGGCATATAAAATTGACGATATTTGATAAATTTAGATAATTACGAAATTTATATAATTATTACAGTAATCAAATATGTATTGCCTTTGTTACTTTATACCTTTGTAATGCATAACATTTACTATTTATGCTCAACCAAATGAGTCAAGAAATACTGCTCTGTGAGTGGACGATATTATGGTGTATAAAATTAATGATATTTGCTTAATTAAGACAACTATGAGGTTCCTATAACTGTTATAGTTCTTAAAATATGTTTCAACAACTTGTTAGGTAAAAGCTTTGATTCTCGTCAGCACTGTACAAATGTAAACGATAATTATTTTGTGATTGGTCAAAATAGTATGTATGTATGAATGAATTTCAAAGGAGGTTTTGAAGGGTATAAAAAGGATTGTATAGCTGGAGGAGACTGAAAAAGTGCCGAACCGAGAAACAGCTAAAGTTAAGTACCTACCTGCTTTGTAACTTGTTCTATTGCTACTGTCTAATTGTGTTGTGTAAATATAAGTCTCTTTGCTTGGTAGCAATAATGTAAATTATTGCTACTACGCTTTGGCATAGTTTATGTACCTAAATGTGTGATTAGTCTTGCAATCCTTTATAAGTAGTGGTTGTTTTGACTTGTCCATTTTAATTAATTTCCTTTTTCTAGCACAGCCATAATTCTGTATTAACTAGTACGTTAAATCCATCCTTTTAGAAGTGCTATTACTTTTACTTTGTTTATCCTGTTTCTCAAATTATTTTTTTTACTACAAGTAAATTACACACTATATGCTTTTGTACCTACTTTATAAATTAAAACTGAGTCATGTTTTTGAAAGTATTGCTTTTCATTTTGTTTTTAAAATTAGTTCGCAAACAATTTTTACTATGTACATCTAATTTTGTACTACCCTCTAATGGAAATAAATTTGGTTGACTAAAATTATGCTTTTCAATTTCATAGAAGTTTAACATCTTTATAATAGAATCTAGTAATTAGTAGACACAAATATGATTTTTTCTAACAAACTCAACACGAAAGGCTGTAAGTTATAGCGGTGGCTGGGGTTTTTAAGGCAGCCAAGTAACGCTTGTAACATGAAGCAATGTGCGAAACTAAAATAAAATTGGTATTCTTTTTATTTGTCTAAAGAAGCAGGGAACATTTATATAAAATTACTTACCGCAGTCTTTCTCAAGGACACAAACACCGTTGCGGTTTCTATAGTAACCATCGTTACAGCGACAGGCGGGTCTGCACATAGCTACACAGGAGAATTTCTTTCCAATTTGGCCACAGGTAGCCGCGGTACACGGAGAGCACGTGGTGTAATGTTCATTTGGTCCTGTACATCTATCCTTTGCATCTATATAAATAAATTTGCATGTATATAAACAAATAATTGTAGTATGAGGACATGGTTAGTGGCTACATAATAATTATGACACTTTTACCTTAACTTTGTAACTATAAAAGCAGTGATGAATACAAACCAAGCATAGGCATAAAGTTACGAAACTGCTTTAGGCCAATTCAATGAACAATGGCCGAAAACGCTTTCCTCAGAGATAAGTCGTGCTCAACAAGGACGTTTTTGACGATGAACCTTGAATGGTTTAGATTTTTTCTTGGTCTGAGCGTACAATCTACCGCGTGACATATTACTGACCACACTCCTTTCCTGGTACACAAATATTATCTTTATTTCTGTAATTACCAGTGATACAATAACGCACATCTGCAGACTGCGGGTGGTATTGTGCATCTCTTTGAGTTTTTAATGCTTGCACATGTGCGATAATCACAAAAGTCCACGGAAGTGTCAAAACATTTGTTCGGCCCTTTATATTTTGCTGTAGATATGAGTGTTTTTGAAATGAGTGTTTTTGAAATACGAGGCATTTACATACCGCATTGTTCAGGGAGTACACATTCTTTTTTTTCATTTCTGAGATAACCACTTTTACATCTGCAAGACGGTTTGCAACGTGGAGAACCCGGTTCTGGATTAGGTACAAAACAAATGATCGATTGATTTACTCCACAACTTTGTGGTGGACATGTTGGTGGACATAGGTCGAAAATTTCGTTTTCTCGATGACAACCTGCAATACACAGACAAAGTTGCAAATAACAAACATTTTAAACTAGAGTCATCCGCCAGTTTAAATTACATATGCTGCATAGTTGTAGACAACACTGAGACTATTAGTAAACAGGAGTTCCTTCTTGTTCCATTTACTTACTCGCACTAATTTAGATTTATTTTTCTACTAAATCGTTAACATTAATTATTGAATTCAATGACAAGAGTGACATCTTCTCTATAATAGTGTTAGAAATCTAAACACTATTATGATCAATAATCAAGTCAATGGATCGATGATTAATAAGACGATTATTGTGTTTTCGTAACGGCAATAGAGGTTATATTTTTTATGACAATTCCGACGAAGCTTTGTACAGACGTAATTGTATACTTAGAATTACATCCAGTAAGTATTGTTGTAACCCATGTAGTAAATTACGAACCACAAGTAACCATTAACAGGGCATATTCCTTTCAAATTCAGTTCATGCAAAAATTCGCCGTACTGAAAACAAGTGTTTTATTTTCTTACCGTTATTAGGGCATTCATCGGTAGGTACGCAAACTCCGGTTTCATCGTTTCTCAAAAATTTATCTTTACATAAGCATCCACCTTTGCATTCAACGGGGTCAACGCAAACGACAGGGTTTCCAATCTGTGAGCAGTTTCGAGCGCTGTAGCAACCACCGTTTGCGCAAGTATTCCATTCCTCATTATCAGGGCAAACTTTAGCTGTAAAAAGTATATCTTTTAGTTTTAATGACTTATTTTCAAAATGTTGAAGTCACTTACAACTTACATTTTTCACATAACAAATTTCTATAAATAGTTATTGTATATTGTGTTCTTTCAATTGTTTCGCTAACGTGACTACGTTACTCGACCTCCTACCTTCCCTACGAACCTCTGAAGAGTTTCATTTATTTGAAAATATTAGTTTGGTTATATTGTTTATGATTTAATTATATTTTGAAATACACATATAACTGTATAAACATTGAGTTTAGTAGTTAACTAGCCAACTATTAAGTCCATTATTTGGCTTAAGCGGCTACTAGCTTGCTAGACATTGGAGGCTTCAACAAAGCGAAAGGAAAGCTCTTAGCGAGGAATTTTGCTTATAGCCCTCGGGTACCCACGATGTCCACCCAAAAGGCACAAAACATGTAGCACTTGTAACATGTAGCGATGTAGGAAAATAAAAATGATGGTATTTAAATCGCTAACATGATGAGAAAACGTTATAGCAGAGATTCAACATAATATTCATATAGTTATTGTATGTTTCTTTCAATTGTTCCACTAACGTGACAACGTTCAGAAATTCATTTATTTGAAAATATTAGTTTGGTTATATTGTTTATGATATAGTTATATTTTGAAATATATAACTCTATGTATGTTACATTAACTTTAGTTGTCAATAAGCCAACTAAGTCAAATAACCTTTATTTCATAGGTAAGCAAATTAGGCTTGAAATCGTCACACTGATTAAAATCTACTGCTCATTCGTAAGGCAGATTCCCATGAGAAGAATGAACAAGAGACTCTAGGGGTTGGTCGTTGTAAATATATATTTAAATACATTTATCATTACAATATTTAATTAAATATCTTAGATCGAGAATACATGAAAGAGCTAAACGGGTCACTACCACGGATTTTTGTCATCCAAGTATGCAGAAGTTACAATACTTTAGTCTAAAAGTTTTTGTTTCACAATAGTTTTAAGCCTCGTAAATGGCAAATTTTGAACATCAATCGGAATCTTATTATAGAAGCGTATACATGCCCCTTAAATGAATTCGAGACTTTATGAAGACCACTGTCAAGAACAGTTACTTTATTTTTATTCCTCGTATTAATGTCATGTCTGTCACTACTTTTCATTAAAAAAATAATATTTTTCTTAATATAAATAATATTTTCATAAATGTATTGTGATTTTAGTGTAAGAATGTTAATCTCTTTAAACTTATCTTTCTAAGACTCCCTGGGGCCCAGATTGTAAATTTCCCTAACTGCACATTTCTGCAGGACAAAGTCTCTATTAATATCGGCGGCATTACCCCAAAGCAACTGTGAAAGTTGCTGTAGTAAACCAATCTATCTGCACACACTGTACACTGCAAAACGTTTTGATAACTTATTTATATGTGGACTCCATTGTAATTTAGCATCTAAAGTTATACCTAGAAATACAACTGTCTCTACAAGTTTCAATTTTTTGTGTCTAACTATAATGTTTGTGTCCGTGTGTCTAACGTTGGGTAATGTAAATTTCACACAATTTGTTTTTTTCTCATTAAGGAGCAGGTTATTAACAGCAAACCAATTTACTACTCTAGATATAGCATTGTTCACATTGTCATATTAATATTGGTGCCTTTTAACTTTAAATAATGAGGAAGTATCATCAACAAACAATACTTTCTCACGTTCTGTATCCTCCACGAGGCTATAAAAGTCATTAATATAAACTAAAAATAATATTGGACCTAGAATTGAACTTTAAGGAACGCCAACACTAATTGCAAACCTTGATGTTCTCGTACCGTTGATATCGACTCACTGTACCCAAATATTATTTAAGAAGGTGTAGGTCACGACCCGCCACAGTTAGTTTGAGTGAAATTACTCCACTAGTTTGTTATAATTATTAATACAAACAAATAACTTACTTTTTATAGGTGGTGGTGGACGCGGATCATCGTCGCAATCTGAAAGAGAATAAAAATCGGAATTCCCAAAAGTTGAACTTAAATATCTACGGCTTTTAAGCACTGAGCGATAAAAGAAAAAAACACACATGTTCTTCATTAAAGATTGTAATATTAAAATTTAGTATTAGTACCTGTACACTGTGTAAGATATTTGTTACAAGTCTTTTTTTGTAGTAATTGTCAAAAAATCAAAAACATACCTGTGGTTGTAGGAGACGCTATAAGTATAACATTGGCCACTAGGGCTACAAACAGTATGAATTTGATCATGGTGACTAGCGTCGTCTGGTACTTCAGCAAACATGATTACGTTTTATATAGTGTTAGCGTTGTACACTTGTACCAACATCGTACATTCAAATAGACTAACAGTACTTGCTATGTATGCATTGCCTTTTCATCCTGTTGCTGCTGTCATTTAATTAATTGCGTCAACATTGTATTACACAAATTAAATGACGATACAATCGCAAAATAATGAAAATGATCGATATTCTTTAAAAAAATCTTGATAGTGCACAGAGTTTTTTATATTTAATATTTAACTACTTTCACAAAAATAAGTTATTAACGCAGACGATACAAACTTAGAATTTGAGTATTAAGCAAAAAATATATTTAATTGTAAGGTAATAATATCTTTACATTTTCTTGTGATATGAAACTAGTGTTGAGTCATGGAAAAACGTCCATTATGTAAACTTTTTTTTTTCAGAAAAAAAAACACTGAACTTCTGTAATTATTTTTCTTATATTTTTCCAGATTTGATTCCTGGCAAAATTAAAGATATTGAACTTAATTACGAATATTAGTGGAAATAATCTATGTTTAAAAAAAATAATTTAGCAATGTTTAGTGGTGTCGGACGCCAAGATCCACTAGGGGTAGCTGAGCCAGTGAAGTAAGAAAGCGAGTAATATTTAGTAATAAGGTATTAGTCACTTTCAAATGTAAGCACGTTTTTTTAAATAAAGAATAAAGTTACTGAAATAATTTTTGTCTCTGTCATTTCAGCAGCTTAAGAAAGATCATTTTGAATCATCATTGATATTTATAATTCGAAAACCATTTTTTTTATACTTCATAGATTATTTTTTTACTTCACGTTTATTTCCTACAAGATCTCCTAGTTTAGAAGGCAGGATAATCTAGTTATTACAGTACTTCAACTAATAAAAACATTGATACCTATTGTGTGAGTTGTGTGTAAAATAAAAAGATTATAGGTAAGCGAATCACATTTGAAATTGTTATATTCATTAAACATTGCTATCCATTTATCATCAGTAAGGCGGAAATCCTTTGAAAAGTATGGACATGGTACTAAGTAGAGATTAAGGATTGATCTCTGTAAACTGATTTTTTTTTCAAATTTATGATTGACACGATGATTGATTCAAATATCATAAATAGAAAAATCCTAAAAGACGAGCCATTACCGTGGATTCTTGACATCTAAATACACAGAAGCCATAAATAACTGTATCCACAAGTATCAATATCTACAAGTTTCAATTTCCACTTCTAACTATAATTTTTGTGGTCGACTGTCTAACATTAGGTAACGTAAATTTCACACATTTTCTCTAATTAAGAAGCTAGTTATTAACCACAAACCAATTTACTGCTTTCGAAATAGTATTGTTAATGTTGTTGTAAAATTGAACCTTGAGCCCATGCTTACTGAAGACCCAGCCGATTTTGTACCTTTGAGATCGACTTTCTGAACCCTCTCAGTCAAATACGATTTAAGAATAACGCTATAAGAAAAGATGTCACGATTCGCCACACCATAACGGCGAAAGTTTTTGACCAGACTACCATGGTGCACACACTTAAACGCGTTGCAAAGGTCACAGAATACAACGGCACTGGCTTGTGATTCTTCCAATGCATCAAATATATATGTTACCTTCATTCAATACTAGCATCCGTCGTTGATCGACCACAAGAGTAACCAAATTGATTATTAAGTTATTACTGTAAAAACACACACATAGCTGAATAAGAATATTGTTTATAATTTTGTAAATTGATATGTAAGTAGTGGGATCTGAATTACTACCAGATTTAGTAACACGAGTAAGCTCGCCTTGCTACATAAGCTTAGGAAACATTCTATCATCAATATCATTGTTAAAACACATGGGAATTGAAGCTCAATGCTAACGACTTAATAATTGAATTTGGAATATCTGTATGTTTTTTAAATATTTTAGCGTCTTCTGAGCCTAACAATTCTATTATCAAATATTAATTGAAAATTGGAGTTATAAAGTTTAACTTTTTCAATTTCGCTGTTTATAATATTCAAAAACGTTTTTACTATACGCGTTATTTGCCATTTCCTTAATTATAAACTTTGCTTTAACTAAAATACAATCACGGTTAAACACTAGCGTTATAAATCTTTTCACCCTATAAGTATAGGGGGAACTTATACTAATTACCATACAGACTAATTTGCAAAAATTGTCTCTAACTTATTTTTAGTATCTCAATAATAAATAGGGCAATGACTGTTGGTGAGAACGAAAAAGTTAATCCAACGTGTCCATTACGCATGCGCGCTATTTTGTTTCCATATTTCACCTCTAAATCATGTATCACCTGACTTTAATAAAGGCAAGCTGATGGACATGAGTCACCGACGCTCTCTCCGCTTTGCAACTTTGCTTTTCGGCATAGTTAAAAATAAAAATCCTCCGTACCTGTACGATAAACCAGAGTTCGCACAACGTAATGTTAGATAGGCCACTCGTCTGGTTTACCCTAGACACGAAACGGCGGCATTACGGGGTAGTATGACGAGTTGGGTGTTTTAAAATGAAATGTATTTTTGGTTTTTTCGTTCTTGTTTTGTGTAGTTTCTTGAGTTTGTAGTGTATATTTTTGTGTGTGGTAAAATGTTTCTATTGTTTATTGTGATGTTTCAAAATCCATATGTTTTGTATTATGTAATGTTGATGTATTTATATGTTCATGTTTTCAAAATGTATATTTATGGTAGTGGCGTTCATAATATTTCAAGATGGCCACAGAATATCAACGCCGGTCTGTTTCCCTGAGCACATGCTGAGTGGTGACCATTTTGGTTCTTTGCATATTTAGTTTAAAGCTTTAATGTAGTTTTTTTATTTTTGTAAGCAAACAAACCAAACCAAATAAATATCCTTCCTTTCTTAATTTTTTATTTTTTTTATTTTTTTATTTTTTTAAATATAATCTCAGTACAGAGTACTAAAAACCAACCTCAAAAGTACGTGGAATTACATCTATTTGCCAAGTTTTATTGAAATATCCCCTAGTTCGCCACTATACAGGACTTGACACAGGAGACAATAAAAATCGGTTCTCAGTACTCAAAGTATATTGAGAGAGAAAAACGCCTTGGATTGGAGAATAGCAAAACCAACCATTAAAATAATTGCTCCTTAGGTAAAATTTAGGCGCTATTTATAAAAATGAATGTTCATGCGTGATCAGCCATCCTTAGAGGTGGATGATTTTCTTCAAAATGAAATGGGACCACTATGGAGGTACCCTCTTTCCAACAAAAAAGAATCATGAAAATCGGTTCACAAATATTTTTCGCGTAACATACATACAAAAAAAAGAAAAAAAGAACATACAGTCGAATTGAGAACCTCATCCTTTTTTTGAAGTCGGTTAAAAATGTATTATATCTAAATTTAGGATATGCATGATCTACGAATTATATAATTGCAATTTTTCAGAAAATTGTTTTCCCTGCATTGTATGACACTTTTAAATTAGTCACCGTCAAAGATAATTGTAGTTGTATTATGAACAAAAAATACTTGAGTTGCCTTATTGTGCTATCACACATATGTTCATTGTTATGTAAATGTAGAAACTTGTTTTTCGATCGATCGAGGTTATTTACATATTGAAACAAAAGGTGTTTTTTATATATTACATATTGCGTATGAATTTTCCTTATAATCCGTTGAGCTCGAGTTTCATGTGTGTATGAATACACCTAGTAGATATTTTAATTTGTTTTATGAGTTTTTTTGATGTGTACTCAGTAGGAGCAGAATATGTTACCATTAACCATATTACCATTTATAATAAATTTACTTGTGAATGTGGAAATACTATCAAATATGGTGACACTGGAATGAAAAGAAGATCCATTCACACCGTGCACCTATACTCTGAATACTTTCTGATTACAGATAGAGAAGCTAACCATTTGACAATATTATGGTAGAAACAATATAAAATAGTTAACAAAGCAAGTGTTCAATATCCACAATATGACTATTGTGAGAAAACTTCTTACTGGATTTCAATGGATTTTTCTCCAGCTATACACTCTGTCCAAATATCATTGATTCTATCCAGTGCCATGGTTATAATATTTTTTTTATATATAATATCAAGTGATGGGACAAACAAGTCGTCCACCTGATGGTTGATGTACACGCTTGTCCATAACAGTTGCAGTACCATTCAGAACTTTAAATCGCAAAGATCTGAGGGGCACTGCCGTCACCCTGACACATAAGTTGACAAGTCCCATGTGCTTGTAATTTCATCAGCACCCTTATTCTTCAAAACTGGAACACAGTTATGCTGACATTACTGCTTGGCGACAGAAGGTAAGTAAGGTGGCAGTTCTACCCAGGACGAACTCTTTCACAAGGAGCTCCACTACTACTAATGGTAATTTAGCTACAACCTTTTGTCTCGATAGTAAATTCGTTGGTCTACATGTGCTCTATCAATTGGAAACACAACTTTTTTACTATTGTCGACACGTACTGTAGTATGTATATAGGTTGTAAATTCTGATGGAATATTGAATTTTGGAAACAATTACTACCATTTTCCAACGCCCCGGAAATTCGTAGGTTTTGATCGATTAACCCGCCGTAATACGATAAGCTATGTCGCGAGTAATATCGTCTATACCTCGAAGTTATTTCTAATTGATAACAGCTTTTGTACACAATTGACTCTGAAAACGTGAATCAGTATTGCGAGCATTACAGCATTTCGGTTTTGAAGGTGTTGGCGAAAATACAGGCACATGGGATTTGTCAACTTATGTCTTAAAGTAACGGGTACAGTGGCGTTCAGACCTTTGCGATTTGAACTCTGAGTTGCACTGTAACTGCTTTGGACGATTGTGTCGCTACATCGCCAGGGGTACAACTTGTTGGTCGCGTCTCTTGGAATCATAAAAAAAAAATATTGAAGTGGCGGGATCGAGCCTACGAGAAGCAAAATAAGGTAATTG